ATTGCGTGAGGAATTTCATGTTTTTTAAAGTTACGATAAAAGTGTTTCTTAGGTTATTTTACGGATGATAGCTAATGCTGAATAAATGTATTGATATCTAGGGATATTCAATTAGCTTAAAATCTTGTAGACTTTAAAGTTTTACATGACCTGTCACACATCTTACATGTGTAACCATTTCATTTCAGGGTATTCAGCATATATTGTGGTTTTCTCTTAAATTTATTTGCTTATGTAATCAATAATTTGAGAATACTCAAATTAGGAAATGTAAGAGAGAATAGGCAAGAAAATCAGGGTTAAAAAATGTTTTTACTACAAAGGGGTTAATCTATTATTTAATATATAAGTACATTCAGTCTATACATTTCATTTGGGTATGAAATAAACTTACATTTGAGCATTTTAAGACAATTGTAAATATTACTTTAATCTGTTTTTTAAAAAATGACGAGATTCACTGTCAGCATGTTATTTCCTATAAAATAAAAAGAAAACGAACAATTTTATTTGAGTCAGTTTTTCTTTAAATGTAAATAAGAAGCATTGGAAGTTGGGAATATTTCACAAAGTTGATTGAATATAATACTCACTAGGACAGTTGGAGTATTATGATTTTACCCTAAAGGACACCAGTTTAAATTTCAATATACAAATCATGATTAGTCATGGAGTATAAAGTTTACACTTGCCAAAAAGTAAATGGTATTTATGTTCCTTAGTTCTCCTGCCAAACGACTGAGCTTGTTTTTCGATAAACAGGCAAAAACAAATAACATCATGCTGAAGTGAAATATGTCATTTATTAAAGTAAATGACGGAAAAGTAAAAATAATATTAAAGAAAGCTATTCTTCTCACTCAATTTGTTTTTAAAATTAATTTGTAAATGAGAAATAGACTGGGTTTTTTTTTCAGATAAGTAGATTAGTAGGCAGAATGTGAATCAACACCAGATAAATGTTGTCTTCTTTATTTCCTCAAACCTAAACTTACAAACCATAAAATTTAATGTTAAACTATGTATATAAACAAAAAAAAGTAGAATGAAAAGCTTAATTTACATTTTTTTAAGGAAGGATTCTTTCCTTATAATGTTGTTCTTTATTTATAATGATTATACATACAGGAAAAATGAATAAATGAATAATTTAAAACAACATATCCACATTAGATTGAGGATCATTTGAAGATCCCTTATAACAAAGATTCTTTAAAATTGCGTGAGGAATTTCATGTTTTTTAAAGTTACGATAAAAGTGTTTCTTAGGTTATTTTACGGATGATAGCTAATGCTGAATAAATGTATTGATATCTAGGGATATTCAAGAGTGTATGGTGTTGAAACTTTAAATATATATATTGGTCAGGCAGTTTGTCTTTGAATTCAGTTGGAAATTTTGATCATCACAAATTATATTTGACAGTATTAAAATCCAATAATTTTAGACAAACATTAAGAAGATTACACAAACACCGTACTTTCACAATTTGGTTTTACAAATATGAAAATTTTGAATAACTAAAGACTGATCTTAATTACATAAAGACAAGACTTACTAGATAAATAATCAGTCCTCATGATTAAATGTTTTTAAAGATTAAAAGTCTGAAAGTTTTTAAGATTGAAATCCTATAAGTCTGAAAACCTAAAAAGTATTAATATCAAGATTCAATTTATATTGTGTTTTGAAGGATTGAAAGTCAGTATATGATTTGCTTGTAAAATTCTTTAAAATTAAGGAGCACATTCACTGATATATTATAGAAAAGAGTGGGAGATTTTATAACTAATTTCTAACAAATAAACGAATCACCCTGATATCCTTGAATCATAAAATGATTGTAATCACCATATATTAATTAACCAATTGTCAATAACAATTAACAATCTTAAGAACAAGAAAAATAGGCAAATAATATTTTGGTTCTTGATATATTCCTTTTCAAATACTGTCGATTTTGCATTTATTATTTCTGTGCACCAATTTTTGATTCAATCAAGAAACTTACACAATAAAACATAAATCACAACTCAAATCAAATAAATGATGAAATAGACACAAATACTGAGAATTTCATCTCTTTATATAATTTCGAATAACTGTAAAGAAAATTTCTTTCAAAATAAACTTTTAAAAAATCCTATGGGTGTGTATAGAAAAAATCTACTGGCCTTTGACCTCTTAGAAGAAAAGAGCCTAGTCAACTTCTGAAGAAGACAGACGTATTAATAACTATAGACTAGAAAACATTTTCACATATTATTATCTAAAAGTTTGAGCTAAATTTCTGTTATTAGATATTTCAATCAAGATAAAACCTGACTAGTTTTCTTGCAATAAGAGTGAAGCAATTAATGAATTTACAAATTGGACAAAATAATTTACAAAGAGAAAATAGATTATCATTATCAGCATTTACAAACCCTTTGTACAATTACATAAAAATAAAACAGATACAATGTGCATAAATTCACAAATCATGTGCAACATGTGTAATGATTACAACTAAGAATGTGTATCAGTGGGAAAAGATAATACTACCCTCATACAATGAAACCTGTTTATTGTGAACACAGTCAATAAATGTTTATAAATGAAAAACACAAATTATTATCCCCAAGAATGAATGCATTGTAAATCATGGAATTCATATTGGATTTAATTGGTTAATTTACAGTGTCAAAGTGCACAGACTGACAAAATCAAACTTTAATGAGTAAAGTGGCATGGTGCAGCACAAATTAATGAAGTGGGCTGTTTGAATGACTATTCTAATAAAGCTTGATAATTCGAAATAGCTTGAATTTGCCTTTAAGTAGATGAATGTACATAAAAACCAAATTCAGTACATGCTCTTATCTATAAAAGAAACAGGGAAAATTCTGCTGTAATTCACTGCTCTTGAGTTTTACTACAGATGAAATGAAACTTCTGTAAAATGTTTCAAAATCTTTACCTAATGAATGTATACACGTCAGTTTCAAAAACCATTCACTTCATTCATGCAAGCATTTATTCATGCCAAGAATCACTACAAATTATGTCTGAGATGAAAATCCAGGAAAATGTACAACTAAGTACTTCATAACTGTAGTATTACAAAAATTATCTTACGGTCATCAAATTTTCATGAAATTTATAAAAATCTTTTGCACAATAATCAAAATATTGAATTTACAAAAATGGAATTACTACTGCTAATTGCTTTGAAATGTTGAGTTTAAAAGAAAATTGAGCATTTCCACAGTCTTGTAAAATTCTCTTGAATTAAAAAATGTTATATGGACATGTTCATGCATCTAAAGTCTTCTCTGAAAAGTGGAATAACCACACTGAATACATAAATGCCTATAGTACATATAAATTGTCCCCTTTTAAATGGCCCCAAGCTCACTAAAAAATCACCTTTCATAGAAAGGATTCATAAAAATTTCTTACAGTATAAGGGAGATAATTCATTATATTCTTTGACAACAACTTTTCTCTGATAAATTTTGTTTTAAACTGAAAGGAATCAGAAGCAATTACTTTCTAGGATCTAAACTTGTATTTTTGTTATTGGTTTACCTATATGTATGAAGTGTACAATAAGTTAAGGTGGCTAGTGGGTCAACGAATTATTTTTTTATTAACCACCAGATATAACTTAAATTTTGGGATATGATATCTTAAGCTTTCAACTATCATTTGGCAAAGAAAAATTTCATAAATTTTAGTTTTAAAATTGATCATTTTATTATATCTTTATATGGAGCTCTTCTTTTAAAGGAGATCAAAATAGTCTAAAATGGCCACAACCACCCAGCCCCTTTAAATCAAGGGGTACATGGCACTCAAGCTGGTTTTTATCTAAGTAACACATACCTAAACATACACATGTATTTTACAAAATAAATTAATGAGTCTTATCAAGTTAAAATATATCCTATAATATATACAATATTGTTGATTTTTGTATAAACAATTATAAGATATCATTTATATATACATGTATTAGTACTAGGGATGTCAAATCGGTCAATTTTTAGTACTCGGTTACTCGGACGTTTTTCCGATCGAGTACCCAGGTACTCAGTAAAAAGTGTAAATAAATATAAACAAGTAAATTGATGACTGTAAAACATTGAAAACTCTTGTAGAAATAAACCCACATGCTTTGATAGGAGGTTTACCCGTAAATGTATTTCTGATGTAACAATGATAAGCACTTCGTGTCCGAAGAAATTTAATATAACATTTTTTACAAATATCAGATAAACACAAGAAATAAAATCATAAAATTGTTAACACTGTTTTTGTTTTAAAAAAAATACTCGTTCCGTAAATTGTAACTCTTTGTTGCGTTTGACGTCCAGGTTTCTGTCGTCAGAGATACATGCAGTATCAACTTGAACTTGACCTTGAATTCTCATAACAGAGCGGATTTACGAATTTCGCACACTTTTTCACTCCTATATTATATAGAATCTCGGGACGGTATTTTGTAGTTTAGTGCATCAGTTTTTAAAAGCCTTTGCCTTCAACCATTTGTATTGGCGTGTTATCAAACAAAACCATATCAACAACCCCACGTGTAATATCTGTCTCTTTTCCGAGAACTTACGGCTTCTCGGAAAATTGACAAAATTATCTAATTTATTCAAACATAATAGACCTTAAACGATGTTCAGTGAAGACAACAAAGCAAATCAAAGATAATGGTAGAAGACAGGCAAAGGTGAGAAGGCCAGGTAGCAGGTGCTTGGTCACGATAATTACTAAATAAACACAGCCAAAGTCGATAACGGTCATTAAAAGGTGTGGGAAACCCTAATTACTGTATGTACAAGTACAATGAGCAATTTACGTTTTAAAACAGATTGTTTATTGCATTAATAAATAAGCTACGAAATATTCAAAAATATACATCCGAGTAAACGAGTACCGATTTTAGTATTCGATACTCGGACGTTCGATCGAGTACCCGGTTAACCGGGTACTCGTTGACATCCCTAATTAGTACACATATCAACATTTTTTTTTTTAATTCTCTACAAAGTTTGTACAATACTTGCCTTTCTTTGGATGGACATTTTATTAACATTTTTCTAGCTAAACCCCTGCTATGAACAATTACTACTGTACCTTCGCCTTGATATTTACCAATGATTTTTCAACACAGAACAAAACCAAAGTCCATATGTCTACAGTATATACAGTGTACATGTAGTGATCTGGTATCCTTGCGTAACAAACCAGACAAACTGAAATTTCCTAAAGCTGAAAAAGCTACAGAAGTTTTTAATTAGAAATGGAGACAAGAAGGCACAATAAAGAAGTAACAAAGCAGCGTTTAGAAAAGGATAGGTTTATCTTTGACCGTGTCCTTGACATAGCTGGTGAATCGTTTGAGGAACTTGGGGTACTCTCTCTTGTACACACCTCTCCACACAGAGGCTGGGGCCGATCCTCCTGGGTTAACTGAAATTAAGGCACAAATCTGTGAATACCACTTTCTCTTTTTTAATACATTGCCTTTAGTCTTTATAAAGTTCTACACACTAGGTAAAGTACACATAGAAAGAACTAGAACTGTCCAATTGGGACAAAATACCCCCCGCTGGGTTTTTCAGAAGTAAGTTTTTGCATAATAAAGATATGTATCAAACACGACTTATAAAATTTTTCTTCCAGTGACCTTGAACTTCCCAAATGACCTTGGGTCAAGGTCATGACACACCCTTGGGTCATGGGCAATCTTAATGTGAAATGAAAACCTACCAAGTTTATCCATAAGAAAGATATAGACCGGACACGAATTATGAAATTTTTCTTCCAGTGACCTTGAACTTCCCCAAATGACCTTGGGTCAAGGTCATGACACACCCTTGGGTCATGGGCAATCTTTGTATGAAATGAGAACCTACCAAGTTTATCCTTAAGAAAGATATGGACCGGACACGAATTATTAAATTTTTCTACCAGTGACCTTGAACTTCTCCAAATGACCTTGGGTCAAGGTCATGACACACCCTTGGGTCATGGGCAATCTTAATGTGAAATGAAAACCTACCAAGTTTATCCATAAGAAAGATATAGACCGGACACGAATTATGAAATTTTTCTTCCAGTGACCTTGAACTTCCCCAAATGACCTTGGATCAAGGTCATGACACACCCTTGGGTCATGGGCAATCTTTTTATGAAATGAGAACCTACCAAGTTTATCCTTAAGAAAGATATGGACCGGACACGAATTATTAAATTTTTCTACCAGTGACCTTGAACTTCTCCAAATGACCTTGGGTCAAGGTCATGACACACCCTTGGGTCATGGGCAATCTTTATGTGAAATGAAAACCTACCAAGTTTATCCATAAGAAAGATAGAGACCGGACACGAATTATGAAATTTTTCTTCCAGTGACCTTGAACTTCCCCAAATGACCTTGGGTCAAAGTCATGACACACCCTTGGGTCATGGGCAATCTTTGTATGAACTGAGAACCTACCAAGTTTATCCATAAAAGATATGTGTCAAACATGAATTTTGAAATTTTTCTCCCAGTGACCTTGAACTTCCCCAAATGACCTTGGGTCAAGGTCATGACACACCCTTGGGTCATGGGCAATCTTTGTGTGAAATGAGAACCTACCAAGTTTATCCATAAGAAAGATATGGACCGGACACGAATTATGAAATTTTTCTTCCAGTGACCTTGAACTTCCCCAAATGACCTTTGGTCAAGGTCATGACACACCCTTAGGTTATGAGCAATCTTAGTGTGGAGTAGTACATGTAGATTCTAATGTCCCTCTGTAAGAAAGATATGGACCGGACACAATTGCACAGACAGACGGACGGACGGACAGACGGACAGACAGACAGACGGACAAGGTGATTCCTATATACCCCCCAAACTTCGTTTGTGGGGGGTATAAAAACAAGTGTTTCAAATATTTTAATCCTTCACTTGTAACTTAGTAAGTAGATATACCGGTCTTTCTTTTGTAAACATAGGTCATTGCTGTTTTAATCTTTATTCCATACATATATTTCTGATATTTTAAAACACTCAGATTTTCATCTGAATACTGAATATCAAATTATTATGCATTTGACTGGATGTAAGCGCAATGAACAATCTATTCAGTAAAATAAGGATTTTTTTACATTGTCTACTTACCCTCTGCGGTGTTCCTGATTTTACACTTGATGTCGTCACGACTGATATTACCATCAGCGGGTGGATCAATGATGGTCTCACATATCATGGCCACATTCATTTTAACTCGCACATACTTGTTCTAAAAAAATGAAATGGATTATCTGAAAATCATCACCTGCTTGTTTTCTTAATCATTAGCTTCTGTACAAGTTTATACCGTGTAATATATATGTAAATTATGACTCAATTTTGTGAAGAATTTTGCAGGTTTTGTTAATAGGGAAATTTTACACTGAATAGGTGAAGAAATATATAACTGAAATTTACAGGAATTTTACTGTCCTCCGTTGAGTAATTGACGACAATCCACCTGTCTGGTTCCTCGTCATTCTTCCCTGTCACATGACGGAGGTGTGACCAGAAGAGGGCGTCTCTCTGAGAGGCCGGCCACACCCTCTTGATGACGTTGTGACTGATAAAAGTGTCCTCAGCCAACCACTCAGTACAGACACTGGACTCAAGAGTAGCTGTCAATCAAAAAAGTCAAAGATGTCAAAGACATTAACAACAGGAATATTCCATATTGGCTATTGAAAACTATCAATAAAAATGAAAATTTTTCTACTTAGACTAGATGGGGGATATTTGTGGAAAAAGTACAAAAGAGGAAGTCTTTTAGCCTATAAATTGTATTTAAAATCATAAAAATTTAAATGTATTCATACCATCCCAATCCAAGCGTTCATCAATACTCCAGAAGTAATGGCAAACCTCATGGCCAGTAATACCCTACAAATATTGAATTTCATTAGAAAATTCAAGTTTCACATGATACGCATACATATATACTGTATGCAGAGACATTTTTGGCACAGTTTTATTTTAACCCCATTTCCTTAACCAAAAAGTGGCCATGTTTAAAATGGTAATAAATCACATTTACAAACAATTCTAATTTTGACCAGACAGTTGGGTTATAGTGACAATGCTTTTTAAATTTTTTTTTTGTTTTTGGAAAAACACCGCAGACCAAAAAATCATGTATA